CAGATTCTGAGCAATCCTTATGTGTGGAGAAAACAAAAATAGCTTAAAAAATAGCAACCTAAAAACGGCTGGAAAAAAGCTATTCTATGTGCGCATGCGAGCCAGCCACGACTCATTAGGAGTTGGTCAAGCTCGACTCAGAGATACATTCTAAAGTCAAAAATTATGAATATTTTGCTTAAAAATAAAAGCTGTTGTTGTGAGGTGACGATTAAAAGCCACTGGAAGCCGAAGAGAGCGAACAGCATACAGTGCCGACTAAGGACGCAGATACATCGCTGCGTAAACCGTTACATTGCGAGTAACAAGTTGTAGCCCAAGTGACGTGGACCTAAAGGCACGGGTCGGATCGATTCGACGGGTACGTTTATTTTTGTCAAAAATCAACAAGAAGTTTAATGAGGAACGAGAGCGGGGAGACTAAGCAAAAATACCACAACCCTGAGTATTGAGGCCGGCTGTGCTATGACCGATAGGTCGGCGCAGCGAGGAGATGGGAAACGTGATAGAGTACGGCGCATGCGAGAGGGTGCAGACGCCACATATTCCGCGACTGATAAGGGTGGTACTACGGCAGTATACAAGGCAAGACCTTAGCGGAATTGCCTCGCACTTATGAGTCGCGACAGGCGGGCTCCCTGCTGATGGGGACCCCCTACTCTTCTTACTCCACAAGGGGCTACTTTTGCACCTAACTCCGACCCGTGGCTTTAGCACCTTTGTCGTACCCTTTCCACAGTTTCGAGGAGCAAGAACGACCTAGCTTACTTTTGTGAGCAGCTCTATCCCACTCACAGAAGCGCTTAATGCACCTAATGGCTTGATGTCGTAGTGTGTCTTTGAAGGAAGACAGAAGTGCTCAAGGGATTAGTCCCCGATTTTACGAGAAGAGTGGGCTCACCCGTCAATTTGGGGGTAACTAGTGCTAGTGGACAGTCTAGTTTGGAATCTGCATAGGGATGTGAGCTTTTAAGAGAGGCAATATCTGTCTCACCTCCACAGCTATTCGAGCCCCTGTCGCGTTCCTCACCATGACCTGTTTCGAATAGTATGGTATCGTAACCACAGTCGACAGCTTTCGCGAGTTACTGTTGAAGACGGTCACCGCAAAGGTTGATTCATCCCTTCAAAACGAGAAAGTTAATGTCGAAAAATAGATAAGCAAGATAACAGGATGTTCCATACTTGATAGGATGGCAGAGTGTTTCATTGATCAGAGGGCAAAGATAATGTCGTGGAGGCTTCGCATCATTCTTTGGATAGACCTTTTTCAGGTAATCGTTGATCACTATCTGAAAGGTGTAAAACATAAAATCCAGATGGACTCAGAGTATTAGAAATCAGATCATGACCAAGGTTACAGCGAACTGGGAGGGTCTAGAAGCTTTTCTGTGAATATCAAGGGCTTGAGGTGACAAAGAGTGCAACTAAAGTCCAACATTATTTGGACAGGGAGACGTCTAATAAGTGAATTGCTACAGGAACAAAAAAGGTTGCATTTGGGTATGAGAAGAGCAACAATTTTTCTTGACATGAACAAAATTGGCGCTATCGCGGGATACGGGGGCATAGTGGTGGCAGTTGCATTTAGGAATCGCATAAATCATCCCCTTCCTCTGTTGATATCGGGACCAAGCCTTAAGCGGAGGACGGGAGGGTTCAGGGTGCGTAAGCAATTTCCATATTCCACAAAGTTCCTGCTCCCTTCTAGGCTTAGTCCTAGAGGATTTATTTCCCCGTATCTTGCGAGAGCGCCACAAAATTTGTTGTAAAACATCCCCATGCCTCTAAACTGAAATTTCCTCATCCTCATATTGTTTTTCTCCTGTATTGTGTACCATGCGACTGCGTTACTTGGCCCATCCATTTTATAGTGGACAGAATTAGACCAATAGAGCGCTTGCTTCCTTCTAAATACCACTCTGTAAGTTTCGGCGTCCATCCATTATCTGTACTTTGTCATGTGTCCGACCCACAGGGAACGCCTTGCCGAGAAAAATTCACACTACTCCCCATAATTATAATTCCACCCACGAAACTCTGAAAACTCATACAATTGTAAGTTTTCGAAATGATTCTTGAAGAGTAAATGTGCTGAAAATAAATGCGAGTCTGCACATAAACTTTTTGAGGCGAGCACGCAATATTTCCTACTTAAAGGAATCTTGCGCGGAAAAATCATGATTCTATTTCAGCCATAAATCACTGGCTTGAGACTCATTATCCACGATAATAGTGAAAAGAACTGAAGTATTGCTTTCGTTTTGATTAGAAATTCGAAAACTCGAAAAGGCTGCTACGCGTTCGAATTGCCCACGGACGTCTTTCACGAATGCTGGCGACGGGGATGCTCAAACTTGGTTCTTGGAGTGCATTCACTAGAAGCTCTTTCTGGCCTTCTGCTTCGTTGCATTCACATCTTACACTTCTACTCCATCCTATTCCATCGATCGATTTGTCTCCACTCTCCGAAATCGCGCGCTTTAACCCGATTCTCTCATTGCGTCGCCTGGTACGTAGCCGGCCAAACGCCGTCTTCTTTCCATGCCTCGCCTGGCTCTGCCTCCTGGTCCTTCGATGGTCCATAACGTGTAGTTTTTGTACGTTTGTTTCTCTTCAGAAACCGAATCTTCATGCGTGAAACTTTGTGTGCTATTTCCAGTGATCACAACTGACATATTCATGTTAGGAAAGAGTGCAAGAATTTTCCGCGCAAGATTCCTTTAATTTTCAGAAAAATACCACTTCGGCGTATTCTTCACACTCACAGTTTCAACAAATGTTTTCCTTTTTTGCTTTTGTGACCCTTTCTTCGTGAGCTGATGATAATACAATATAAACAAAAAAATCCTCGTAGAGCCTTGAGAAAGGGCCGAGGTTGTCACGAAAGATAAAAGTTACTGCTGAATCATTTTCATATCCCCAGTGCCATGTAGTGAATGGGACTTTAATTCGCTTTGCTTCGCTCACCCCAGAGATCTCAAGTATTACTTATTAAGAATAAGTGATCACTAGGTCAAAGTAATTTGATATTGTTCCCATCCTGCATATACACATTAGTAACGGATATAACATAGCAGTTCTGCCCAAATTGAAATCTGTCTAGCGTCCTGAACATCTTTAAGCACGGATAATAGCTTCTGTGGTGGAGACCCGAAGAATGTTCAAAGATGTACAAGCTTACTTCTCCCTCTTTCATCGCATTGGCGAGCCGCTTCTCGTAGTCTCTGGTTACGTTTTCTTTAGCAGTACCTCTGAAATGAAAACTGTTTCGAAAAGTATAGACACAAAAAAATGTGACCGAAAAGTATAGGACGCCATGTTTTTGTGTGTAAAAGCCAAGAAAGAGAATCGATCAGGAAACCGACTTCACACAAAGATAGGAATAAGCTATTTGATCACTTGTGCAAAATGTGTATATTATAGTCCTTTGCTCCGGTCCAACAGACTTGGAAATGCTGCTGAGGCCAGCATACAAAAGGCAACGCGGGTCTTGAGCGAGGAAGTCCAGCGAATCGCGAAGCGAAAGATACATACAAGCGTACAAACCCAGCACAAGGCACGGAGCCCAAAAGACCTCGCTGTCTACAAGTGTATTGTGAAGGCTACCGTCGCCAAGGCGAAGAACACGGAAATGGACGCCTTGTACGAGAAGTTGGAAAGCAGAAACGCAGAGAAGTTCGTCTTCAGACTGGCCAAAGCCCGGCATCGGGCTACTCAAGACATCAGGGTGGTGAAGAGTGTGAAGAGCAGCGACGGCGCCATCTGGAAGCCAGCCGAAGTTGAAGAGGAGGTGGGAGGAGTACTACAGTGCACTCCTGAACGAGGAGTTCCCCCACAAGGACACTCCACAAGCAGAGGCAACGGCTGGCCCATCTCACTATGGACAGAGGATGAGGTTCGTCGAGAAGTAGGAGATGAAGGTTGGGAAGGCGGTGGGTCCAGATGGGGTATCGGTCTAGGCATGGAATGCCCTTGAGAGCACGATAGAAGGCTTACTCGATTTCTCAGTACCATGTAATTGTACGAGCGGCTGGATAACTCGAAGTAAGCGCGATCCTCTCAGGAAACAGTTCGAAGTTTATGGTGGGAATTCCACAACGATCCTGCTTCATTCGGCTGGGCAAAAATATGTGAGAGGTATCGAGAAAGCCGCTTTACTGTCCTGCTACTGGCCCTTCTTTCGACCTTGCCTTGACTGCTCTACTGGTCTACAGTCCGAGCAGTTATGTCACAGCGCTTAGGGAACCGTAACGTGTCACTAAACCTGACCTTTCAGATGGATGTTACAGTGGGTCCGATGCAGCAATATGCACTCCGCACAGGAGAAAAGTAGACACCGCGAGTGGCTAGAACCAAGGTTAGCACTGAGTCTTCCTTTTCTCCTTCGACACTCAGATGCCATAAAAGAAGGGACTCATGACAGTACTACGAGAACCATTACTACCGGCATGCATTTGCACTGAATATAGGCAGTGCAGAAGAGCGCCAGGGCAAGGGGCTCCATCTGAGTGTCAAGAAGAACTATTCTTGAGCTTTGAGAGGGGTATAGAGCCGATTGTGGACAGCTGCGAAAAATTCGTCGACAGAATGGAGAATTCTGATATCTGAAGGATCTAGCTCGTCACTGTAGTGAAGCAAGTAATGTCACTCATTGCGCATTTTTTTCGAATTTACAACTTCTTCAGTGACTGCTCGGGTCGCCATGAACTCTAATTGACCCTACTGCTAATAACTCCTACGTAACATAATCTTAGAACCGTTTGAAGTTGAGATTTCTTGTCCGGTCCCATCTACTGCGCAAATAATATAAACGGAGCTCAACTGACGTGACAGCGTCGTGATGTTGCACCAAGGCAGAAGCTTGTGCCATCTTCTGGACATCGGCATCGTCTTCAGGACCCAAATCGGCTAACGCATCAAGTTGTTTACATAAGCTGAATGACAAGAGATACTACTTATGTTGCTATGAATTGTTCGGACTCTCTTTGAGCTGTAAATGTCTTAGTTATTCTGCGCCATGCGAGATGTCAATAGAACACTTATCCCTGTCGCTTGAAACTTCGGCTGGATTGGAGTTTCATAAACTGTACAATATGTTGAATTGCACCTTCAGGCATCTTTAGTAAAGACAATGCAATGAGCTACCCCGAATCGTTTCAGAAACCCTTCGTAACAACAGAAGGATGGTGACAACGAATTAAAAAGAAACGTGTGCACGGTGGCACTCGGATTCTCTAGGAAACAATAGCTCAAAATGAACTCCAGAACCCCTTTCAGCAGACTTGTTTTTGTTTGTTAACTGCTGTTTTTGGCCGCAGTTCGCCTTGCGAATGTTTCACAAGAATGCTGGGTTGTGAACAAAACTTTCGCCCCAGGCGGGACTCGAACCCGCACCTCTCGCTTTCCGGGCAAGTGCGCTACCAGTTACGCTACCGGGAAAACGAGGGGTGCGGGTTCGAATCCCGTCTGGGGCGAAAGTTTTGTTCACAACCCAGCATTCTTGTGAAACCTCTTGGCAGAATTTTTTCTTTTGAACAACTTTTGGGTCCGGCTGGGCTTTTACAGCAATTTTCTCAGATGGGGTCACGGAAATCTGCTAGAGAAGAACGAGGTTCTGCGAAGGTAACTGTGGTCCAGATGTCAGCTTTTCTGCCTGCGGGTTTTCCGACCTAATTAAAGCGCTCAACCATTGCTCATATGAGCTTCATTGCAACGCCGAACCACCCCTAGATGTGATGTGTCGAAACCCCTCGTTAATTAGATCAGGATGCTGTCATGTGGTTGTTTCACTAATTTTGAAAATTGTATGATACTTGGTTTCAATAGAGAGAAGACATCGCACTTTATCATATATTGCACATAAAAGAGAATATAATATTCAGAAAAAAAGTGGAGCTCGACCGCGCTCTCTCGCATTAGGCCGATGTCAGACTTTGCGAATCGCGCGATTCGCTACTAGCGATTCGCTAGCGTCCGCGGTCGCGTTGCGGTACCAGCCAATTGAGTGATTCACTGGCCGCGACGCGACCGCAGACGCTAGCGAATCGCGCGATTCGCAAAGTCCATCGGCCAAACCAATAATTGTGGCCCACCCTGCTCAATTATTCCGCTCATAAAAAAAGATAAAGGTATACAATCACCTGAAGAAGAGCACTGGCTTCTCGGATCATACGCTTGAAAGTTGGCCGACTTGTGAAATATCCAGTCCAATAGGAGATATTAGACGAAGCATACCTGACATGGACCTTTTTGTGACTTTTTGAGTACAACACAACATGAATGCCTAATGGAACGCCTATTTCCGCAACCTTCACATAACCTTTAGTAACGCAGAAAAGCATGACGAAAAAAAAAGGCTGTGAATAATGGGATTTTAATATAGACTTTCTCATTTCGACTGTTGTCTCTATCTTGAGAGCCCTGTTCAGGAGAAGACCTCGCCAGCTTCCACCCAGTTTACCTTGTCTCTGAACAGTCTCGGGAACGACGTAAAAAGGTTGTGGGAATTCCGCTCACTTGGGGCACGCCTCCGCAGAGCCAAGCGTGGCGTCGGAAATTCCCAAATACGACCCCCTTCTTTCTGCATCGGTCACTATGCGTCATCATCTGAGCTAAAGAGAAGGACGCGAGGTGGACATCATAGGGTCATAGGGTTGAGAAAGTAAGATGAAACTGTAGGAAACATCCAGTTGGCAAATGAAAATGTGAATTCACTGATCCAAGCAGAAACTGTTTATTAGCCCTAGAGCGCGTTATCTGCTACCGCAGTCGTTTAGAACCTCACACTTCTCCAAAATGACTACACCTCTTAAAAAAGTGAACTACGAATTTGAACAGATATGTGGATGCTTCTCCAGCTTTTTGAGAGATATTTACCACTCTGTCATTTAATGAGAAAGGATATTTCCCCAAAA